ACTTTAATACAGGTGACAAGCATCCTCAAATATTTATTCCCAGTACCAAAGGAGGACAGTAAGCGGGTGATGACGTTTGCCAATGAGGGTGATTACATCTCTTTCCGGTAAGAACTGACTATTAACCACACTTTAAAAGAAGAACAAATCGTCCAACAATAACACAATTCAATTTTAAATAAGGCATCACGTGTTTGTGAAAGTTAACAATAAGGAAGTGCAATTGGCTGAAGTAGGCCCACGATTTGAAATGAGACGTGAGTGATGTTAAAAAGTATTTTTTTTTTTTCATGGTTTACTACTTCTAGTTCTAACGCTCGTTAAAGTCTATGAGATCAAATTGGGAACTGTGGAATTGAAAGCTGCCGACACTGAGTGGGTCTTGCGACCTTACCAACGAACCGCAAGGAAACGCGATCGCCTATAGGAGAATGTATTCTTGTGAATTTACGAATTAACGCGGGGAGCATTTTCAGAAAATTAACTCCGATCTCCTTTTCATTAGTCTCATTCGCTCAACTCTTTTTAAAGTAGGTAGGAAACTGATGAACCTTCTAAATCTTCACGCTGGTACGGGTACCAGTACACCATTATCGCTGTACTTTGCCTTTAAAAATATGCGCGTAATTTTGTCTTCTAAGTGATATTATTTATAAATTTCATCGTTTATGAGAATATTTGGAAATTACCTTAAAAAAGGTGTATGATAAAGTGACAGTGTCAACGTCCTTCATCAATGGGTCGTCAGCAAACTCTGGATCAATGAAAAAGAATACGGGCATATCAACCTCTTCTCCTGCTTCCAACTTCTGTTCTTCAAAACAGAAGCACTGTATTTTATTAAAGTAAGGGGCCACCTTAAAAGGTGTCACATTATAGGTAGCTATGCCTATGAGATCCTGGTTTGATTTGTTCTTTGCCGTGTAAAAAGCAAGAGCGGTTTCACCTGGCAAAACTCGTACTTCCTGTTGTTGAGGTGTAAAGGACCATTGAAGGGTCTTTGAAGTATCCGCGTTAAAGGTGACCTTAATCTTTCGAGAGTTTTGTGCTGGGACCAAGCGATCCGAGTTAAATTTCGAACTACCAGCCATCAGTGTTCCTCCAAAACCTGTTGTCTGGCAGAACATTCGATACAAAGGAACTGACGCGTACGTCACGCCTACTCCAAAAATGAGCACGGCCGCGGTATACATTAAAAAAGATTTATTTCTCATTGAATAGTTTTTGCCGTGGTGAGCATAATAATTTGCATTATTGGACGCAGTAGTCTTAGTGGTTATGCCAGAAACCCTCGAACCCTTCGTCCAGAGACTAAAGTAGACATTTTGGTTCGTTAAATGGTTAACCAAAACCTGGTGATAGTGAAAACATTAGAATCCTGCAAGAAAAGAAAACCAGGAGTATCTGCTAACCCAAAAAAAACAATAAATTACCACTTTCCTAGATGATCCGTTGCGTAAAAGAACAGAATTTTGTATATTCAGCCGAACCTTAGAAAAAAAAAGTCTCATCGCTCGTTAATGCATTCATACTAAGAATGAGAGATATGATTATATTCCGATTGTGCGACATTAAGGCATATTTCGTGCAACCTGAAGAATCTCGATCTACGTTGTTATAAATCATTCCACAGTTCTTAATAGTCCTCTCTGTTTTTTTCCGTTTCTCTCCTCTGTTGGCTATGAGTATCCGCTTTATTTCTCCTGGTGTGAAGAATGGCCTTTACGGTTCCTTCAGGTGTTATTCGAAAACACCGGTTCGAAGGTTGGCCTCAGTGAGTACAGCCGCAGAGCCAACCACGAGGCCACTTTCGGCTGCTGGCATATATGCCTCAGGAGGTCACATTAGGAACGACTGGACGAAGCGAGAAATACAGTCTATCTATGATTCTCCTATAATGGATCTTTTGTATTTCGGAGTAGGTGTCTTGTGGTCACGTGAATTCGCACATAGAACGTTATTCAATGTTAATGTTTATTGTGTATGGCGTTTGTTTTAAGGCCACAGTTCATCGTAGGCATCATGATCCTCTCGCTGTACAACAATGCACTCTCTTGAGCATCAAAACCGGAGGATGCTCGGAGGATTGCGCGTATTGCCCACAATCGTCTAAATATAAGACAATGGTTAAGGCGTCGAAGATGTTAGACACCGACGAAATACTCAATGCCGCAAAAAAGGCCAAAGAAGCCGGCAGCACCAGGTCATTACTCGAAGTAACATGACATAATGTGATACTAAAAATTTTTAATAACCTATCGCTTAACCATCCTTGATAGGTTTTGCATGGGAGCCGCATGGCGTGACCTAAATGGCAGAAAATCCAATTTTAACAAAATTCTGC